CCCCCCACCTCCCCGCCACAACCCGACATTACCGTGAGCATCTCCTGCCGTTCGCGATCGTGCTCGGCAAGTTTCCTCAAGCTCTGCGCCGAGGCCGCGAAGGGCAGAAGCTCCTGCAGGCTTGTGGTCGCGGACGACCCTCCTCCCTCCGCCTTACGTCGGAGTTGGTCGTCCTCCTGGTGCATGGTGATTCATACACAACAGACGCGGGGTGGGGTTGTCATTAGGATGAACGGGTACGAACAAAGGGCAGGGGCGGCGGCGGGTAGAGGTCTCCACGGGTGGGGGGAGGGGAGCGAGTCGAGGTATTGATAGTGACAGCCAAAACTTGTACTGTAGGTTGATACTCGGCGGGGAGGGAGGGAGGGCGACTACTTTGATACTCCCTGCAAAAACCAACGATCCCGGTCGAGCGCACAGAACACCGGCAGCCTCGAGCGCCGTCGACAAAGCAAGCACTCTCTTATTCCAATTCAAGCACAGCGTGACGTGTCGCTGTGTCATGCCCTTCGATTCTTCCTCTGTCTGTCGAGCACACAGCCGCAATACATATGCCATGAAACAGGGCAATGCGTGTACTAGTGGTACAAAGTTTGGCGGACGAAAAACCCTTGGGGCGCACGCGGGAAGAGCACGCACCGGTTCCCGAATGCGCAGACCTATCGACACGGTGCCCGGGACTCTACAGTATAGCCGTGGTACGTGGTCTTAACCCCTTTCATACACCAGTCCGAACTAGGCAGCCCATTTTACATACACAAGCCGTGCCGTCCTCACCTTGAGGGAGATCGGAGAGCGTTCGATGCGGTCGAACACACCGCCGAGGAACTCGTCCGGGAGTGACTTGCCCTGGTCGATGCCTCTGTTGTTGCGAATGAAGCCCTCTGTGCGCGCGTGCCCGTGTTGCATTTGCCATCGTGGGTCGACATGGAACCAGGGGGCCGTAGAACGTTCGGGGGTCAGCACCATCGCCACCATCACCACTATCACCACTACCACTACCACCGGTGGGAAGGGTGAGTTTAGGTACAGAATAAACGAAGGCACATAAGTATGGATACAAAGACAGCCCAGAAAAATAAGCATAAAAACAAAACAAAACGGCTTCTAGTAGCCAACCAAACGAGGAGACATCGAAACCTTTAGTCATCCGCTTGGCGTCCGGGATGCTTGGATTGTGAAGGTCGGTGTTGAGCATGACGATGCTGAAAGCAAGAATGAACGCTGTGTCGGGGTTCGGGAAAACCGACGCGTTCTGTTTCGACCCGACGGAAGCAATCGCACAGACGCAAACAGGTTAGCCGGATAGGGGCAGCGAAAAATCGTCAGCGAGCGAGCGAGAGATAGATAAAAGAGAGAGGGGGAGAGAGGTGGGTGCGTCTGAGACAAGGACGAGATAATATGAACCATATGATTGGGAGGGCGCGGCGTGCAGTAGTTGTTTATCTTGGCAGGGACTGACGAGCCCTGTCGCGACAGAGACGAACGCAAGGATGGCCAGACCCAGAAAACCGGTGTGTGGGCGTCCTCATTACCGCGGGCGTGGCTGGTACAATACGCGATTGCCGGAGTCGCCCACCCCTCGTAGAGCTTATTGGTCAAAGCAGGTTACTGAGGAGGGGGGGGGTAAATGTACACGACGCGCCCGCCTGGACAAGCAGCTAGCTTGAACGGCATGGCCGAACGCGCTGTTCCCTGTCCCCTGGTATCGCACTGTCTCGCTCTGCGCCGGGTCAGAGCGAGTCGGAGCAGAGGCCGAACCACACCGTGTGGCGTGGGCACGCGTGCTCCTAGACGGGCGTGTAAATATTGCACGGCTGACGCCCCCTTCCGGTGAAGGATGCTTCGGCCAACCGGATCACCCAAAGGTTAACCAGCCTTTCCCTCGCCGGAGGTGACTAGACACACGCGGGTCAAAACCTTCAACAAGGACAACACCTCATGCATTGGAAGACTTGCAGCGGCAACCTGCACAGCTCTCTGCGGTACAGGCGACGAGAAAAGCCCTGCCCCTGAGCCAACACACCCGGCCGTGGCATGTAGGAGCGGTACGATACCCAACGACGCTCCCGTTGTAGAGGAAGAGGAAGCATTCGTTTTGCGCAGGCAAGGCCTCTCCGTATCGCAACACAATCCATCACCATAAAACACTTGCCGCTGCAGCTACCTTGAGGGCGATGCGTGAAGAGGGGCTGTCAATGAGATTAGCTATAATACCTGTAGGCAGAACCGCTCGGCGAATTTCTCCATCATGCGGTCGATCTTCTGAGCTTCCCCCGGCAGCCGGAACCCGCTGAGAAAATGGCGAATCGCTTCGTCGAACTCCATGTCCGTGAAGTCGATCCTGTAGCGATTGGCCCCGTACGGCCCCAGACGCACGAACCCATGTTGCACCGACAAAACCAATCAACCAATCAACCACACGTGAGATGAGGGCGTCCATTAATCGGGGTAAGGATGGTTTTGACGATTTACAGCAGCAGGCACCCCGCCGGAGTCCCTCGTGCACCTTGACTTGCAGATACACATACTTGGCGTGTGCCAGAATACATGGGACAAATCCGCATACACCACAAGGTGCAAAGGTGCCTCGTTGAAAGGGGAACACCCAAGACTGGGGGTAGAAAGTTATCATGCTTTCTTGCCGCGGACATCACGATATGGAAACCACCTGGAACAGTTTGAGCGAAAAGCTGCTGCTCTTTCGCGTGAAAAAAAAACAAAATGACTGTCCCATCCGGCTTGCATCGGACTTCGGTACAGCAGTAGAGGGCCGAAATGCCGAAAAGCGGTTTGAATAGGTGCGGTAGTCGACGCGACCCACGATGCGGAACCGACGGCATATGCATACCGAGCGACAACAACGTCAGAGAAAAATGTTTCCATGGGTAGTGCGGAGCATGGCACTCTCACCCGTCGACGTAAGCGTGCAGCACCTTGACGCAAAAGCCGCCCAGATAGTCCGCGCCTCTGCCCATGAACTCCCCGACCTGCGAGGAACGAGTCTCAGTGACGTGACCTGAGACGCACCCAACCATCTTCTCCCTCTCATTGTCAAGTCTATCGCAAAGCTATTTAAATAGCTTGTCTGTCCGGCTGTCAAACCCGTGTGCTACTTTCACCACTCACTACTGCAGCCGTGGTTGGTGTCACGCAGCTACGGTAAAGGTCCCTGTCTAGTGCCGGTATGTATGTGCCCGGAAAATTCACCGGCACTATACCGGACCCGCACTACTCACAGTATTAAGAAAGAACTTGGAAATTCAGTATGTGCCCGTCGAAGACATCGGCACTGCTCTACCGGGCACTTGCACTATTCAACCGGCACTAAGCAGAGCCCCCCACTGTACCAGTTTTTGTGGGCACCAAAGACGGCGGCCTTGTCTTCCAGCTCAACACCATTCTTCTAACTCTTACTACTGCGTGAAGTACAACACGCAACACTGTCTGTCTTGGTCGCTATCGTTGTGTGAAACAAGAACCCTCGGTCTCCCGCTGCACAGCAGCACCACTCTCCGCCGCCTTCACTGGCCACGAAACTAGGCATGTACGAATGCCAGTCGCGTGCTGCGACGGCTTACCTCCGTTTTGTCGAGGCGATCGGCCTGGGCCCGCAGGAACGCCGCCACAGACGCGGGGTCCTTGCTGTCCAAGTGGCCTTTCGAGTGCTGCGTTTCATGCAGCCACCGCCAACACACAGACAGACACAACGGGCGAAAACAGCGTGTGCATGAACGAGATGTTTATGGGGGTTCTGGCCACGCACGAGAACGCAACGACAGATGAGGGGGGGGGGGGGGGTACGATGGACGAGGGAGGAACGGCGAAAAGGAGGCGCGGTTTGGGTTCGTGGGGGTCGACGCAGGTGGAATCGAAAATGTAGGAGGCCAGGCGAAAAATCACCACGCTTGCCGGAGGCATGGGGAGGAGAGGGTGGCACGTACGAGTTATCCGGGAAGTACAACATATCGGAACACGGTCGCTGCTTTGTGCACAACGCTTGACGTGTGAAAAGGCCCAGTGCGACCTGGCACTTTTCGACACGCTTCAACCACACCACAACTATTGGTACATGTTTAACGTAACGGCATTGAAAATAAAATGTTTTATGAACAGTACAACATCTAGCGTACTTACTGTAAATGATGGTCTGCACCACCCTGGGCAGTGAGCGACATACTTCTACTCACCAAGACGGTGGACACACACTTTAGCGGCGACCGATGCGCATCTATCTATGTATCAAATCTATCCACCACTCACGAGGTAGGCCAAGCCGTCTTTGGGCTTCAAGTTGAACTTGACGATGCCGGCCTCGATCTCGCCCTGCACGCGCCTCTTGGTGTCGAACGCCTGCATGGCCTCCACCTTCGTTTCCGTTGATGCAAAGGACGAACGCCACAAGGGCATCAACAGAAGACAAACAGCAACAGCGGCAACGATGACGCGCACACACAATGACGACGGCAAGATGTACCGTATATGACACAAGATAACATACCCCCTTGACCGATTTTCGAAGCTCGATTTCTCAACTGCAGGAACAGTCACAACGCCGAAACCGGCGGCGTTGAAACCGTCTCGTCGAGAGCTTTTCGACCATGTATCATTTCGTTTATGCATCTTCTTCGTCGTGGAGTAATCGAGCTTTGAAAATCGGTCCAGGGGGTGTGTTATCTTGTGTCATATACGGTATACAGCACTGGCACATTGTGGTTTGCATGCCGAGGTGCCGTCGGTGAAACATGGTGTAATTCATCACATCACAGCGGTTTCATCGCGCATGCAGCCAACAACCCCCCAAAAACACGCTGCTGTACCCTCCCGCGCCTCAAACCAATTCCGTACGACGACTGTCCTTCGAAACAATTAATAAACTGCCCTCCCAAGGACCGACGCTGGCACCAACACGGGACGTCTTCGGCCCAGGCGGAAGTCCAGCAAACAGCCTCAAAGGTTACCCACGGCAAGCACCAAACAGATCACAACACCGACGTATACTATCCCCCTGGTTTTCTACTACGCCGCATGCCCCGTGCGCCACAAAATACATAACTACAAAAATCACGAGATCCCTCTAGAAAGAGACGGGATGAAACAACAAGCAAAACAAAACACGATACATTCACTTCTGTGTGACCACGGGTTGGAGTAAACGGCGCAAGTACTGTGAGCGCTTATTCGAAGCGAAGAAAAAAAAAAATCATTGCCAATTTATCCCGGACTCCTATCTGTGGATAGAGATGGATCCGTGGTGTTACGGTAAGAAAAAAAAAAATCCAACCCACCTGTGCGCTGTCGAACCGAAAGCTCCCCCTGTCTCTGCCAGGCCCCTCGTCCTCGAATCCCCCCGCCGCGGTCGCTCTGAAGCCCCCGTCTGCCCCTCCGAGCGAGTAGCCCCGTTGGAGGGCGTGCTTCGCTCTCTGCGCGCCGCCGCTCCACGTGCTAGAGAACGGAAGCGGGCCAGACAGCGGCAGCGGCGACAAGGCCGGCGGCGACGGCACCGGAGTAGCATCGACTGACCTCTCTTCATCTGCTCCCCCTTCGTCCTCCCCTTCGATCGTCACCTGTAAACTTCCGCTACCGCCGCCGCCTTCGCCAAGCACCGGCAGTTCCGAAGGGGCCGTCTTCGAGAGGGGCACGGCCCCGCCACCGCCGGCGCGGGGGCTGTAGCTGGGGGGGCGGCTTGTTGTTGCGCGGGGGGAGACAACCAAGGGGACCGCGGCCGACGCGGACGGCGAGAACGCAGCCATCGACGACGCTTGCCGGGAAGGGGCTCCGGTCGTCGTGGAAGGGCGGTTGGCGGGGCTGTGGTGATTGTGGGGTTGTTGCTGTTGTTGTTGCCACGCCGCCCGCTCCGACTCGACGGAGTTGGAGTGTCGTCTACGATCGCCGCCACGTTTTTTTTGGGGGGGGAGGATGAGGGTTTCGCAGATGTTGGAAAAATGTAGACAGACGGGGAGGGCGAGCGCGGCGCCAGGTGGATTTTTGAAATAAGAAGGACTTCATGAATGTACACAGGAGATACCAGTCGCTGAATGCTTTGAAATGCTCACCGCAGCACTGTTAAGTTCTTTTGAACGGTCACGCCGGTTAACGCTGCAACCCCCTGTTATCTACCCATATATATATATATATATTTTTTTTTTTTTCACCCATCATTGGATTCTGTCGTCTGCCCTTCTGGCCCCTATCCTCCACTTCTATGCGCTGGACGACCCGACCGGGGTCAAATAGGAGGGGGGGGTTGGACCCCCTCCTGCGGTTCCTGCCTGAGATATTTTTATCGCTAGAAGGGTACAGCAATCCCTTCCCTCGCGACTTATGAAGTAGATCAAGCTTACTAACAACGAGCTTTGCAGCGCGTCGCTTCCAACGGAGACCAGGATTGAATTAGCGAGAAAAAACTCACTCTGTCGAGACTCGAACCCTTGACCTGGCCCTCAGCAGGCTGCGAGGCTACCCACTAGACTACCGGGGCGACCGGCGTCCATATGTACTTGGCCNGAGAACCCGGCGTGCTCCGTCCCGGCTGTGTACGGATGCGAGGTCAATGGTCGAACGACTACGGCATGCAATACTTTGAGTCCCCCCCCCCTTCCCGTTCCTCTGCCAAGTGACGGAGAGTTGGAACGTCCCAGAGCAAGACCGTACTCCGGCAGCAGCAAGCACACGGGCAGACTGCTGGCTACCGTACGACAAAGTGAACCCCTTCGCTATGCGGGTCAAGCCACGCCTGCTCAAACGTCCACACCACCCAACGGTAGATGTATCCTATTCGACGCAGCCAAAAGCAAGAACGACAGCCGGTAGATTCGTGCTTCCTCGTGAAAACGCCACAGCCTAGGCCGACCAAAGCCCGGCGTAGCGCTCCACTCCCGTGTTGCACGGGGGGGGATGTAAGGCGCATCGACGCGCTCATGTGAAAAAAACAACCGGGGTCTCCCCAGTCTATCGTCCAACGACTTTGTGACATGCATGATCGTGATTATAGCCCCCCCGTCCGAAAGGAACGATTGGCCATCGGTGATCGGTCCTGTGGGAACAATGCTCCGTCCTCTCGAGGACGCGCGGTCAATGGTCGAACCGCTAAGGCATGCAAAAAATAAGAGTACGCCCCCCCTNCCCCCCCTCTCTTGCCAACCCTCACCTCGCACTCCCGCGCCTCGGAACCATGGCCATATCCCCGTACAACTCCTCCAGATCGGCCGCCTTCACCATAGAAGACACCATGGCCACCGCGCCCCCCATCCCCATGAGCTGCAGCGATCTGTCCTGCTCCAGGTCCTTCTTGCTGGCACTGGCACCCTCGGACCCTGCTCGGCCTTTGGCTACCTGTGACAAACGGACGGGGGGCCAAAATGAAGAGATTGACGGAGAGAAAGCTACGTAGGAACATGCCAACCCATACTGAAGGGAAGTGGCTGCAAAGAAGAAACACAATCAGGTCCGCACGGCGAACAAATGGTGTGTCGTAATGTAGGCCTTTGGGAATCACTTTCAAGCGGTGCTGGAAACGCTGAGGGAAGCTTAAGCTTCTGTGAGCGAGGTTGGGGAGCCGTCGATGCAAAACGGATCAGCACTCTACTATTGCTTCCCAGTTGTACACCAATCTGACAGACTGTAGCACAGAAGACGCCTGAGACCGCGAGAAGGAGTTATTGACTAGTTGAGGAGTCAGGAGAAAGATGCAAACCCCCGCCAAGAAGGGGGGCGACGCCTCCGGCTTGTCGGTCACGACTTCCCCCCCCCCCTACCCCCTCC